GAATACAGTAAAGATAGAAGGGGACGCCAGGGCCTGCGGACGTCTGCAGGACTACCTTGGGTCTCCCGAACTGAAGGCAGCACCCTCGAACTCTGATCAGCCACTAGCTCCAAAATTTGCACTGGAAGTGCAGAGTGCAGTATCAGTACAACCGACCACATGTACTGGTAAGTGCCTAGCCTAACCTCGACGAAGTAGTGACGAGGCTACGTCGGGGCATACAACATATACAACCTGCAATAGTTTATACTAAACGGAAAGGAACTACAGAATGTACATAACTAATAACTGACATTAAATAAATCTGGAATCCAACTATACTACTATTTCTTTTAAGCTATAACCAATCCTTAGGGGTGTTCCAACATCACACTAACAGACCTCAACAGATAATGAACACATAACAACAACTGATGCAGCGCGCATCCCGATCCCATCATATACACAACAACAGAATAAATATTCACTTTTTATTCCTTCTTGTTGCGGCGTGCAACCCAATCCCAACTGTCCACCCTTATTACTCCTTGTTGCAGCGTGCAACCCGATCCCATATAATACTGTTGCGGCGTGCAACCCGATCCCTATATATATATATATCAACACCAATCACAAAGAGAAAATACCAAGAATTTCACAAGTTAACTCAATTTCCACATTTCTACACTTCAACTCGTATAATGGGTTATCACTACGATTACGAACTTCACCCATGAAGGCTAATCAACAAGACCAACCAAAGTGCACCATAAGACACCAACAACTCAATACAAGCTAACAATATAAATAAACAGAACCATGAAACATTAGATACTCCAAATACGAGATCGACAATTAATATAAGTAATTAGGCATGGAGGCATTTATGGCAAATAACAATTAAATCATAGAAACAGTTTAAGCAGGTAGCAATTAAGACAAGGAATGATGTAATAGGAAACGGGGAAGGGAAACAACTAAACATGGTAATTTTAGTGGTGCATAGGTACTCGTCACCACACCTATACGCCACACACATGAGATTTCACATAGCAAATAAGTCGGGGATTCATATTCCCTCAAGTCAAGGTTAGACCAAATACTTACATCAAGCCAACGGGTAATTCAACACTCAACCACCGCTTTACCTCTCGATTCCACCACCAATTCACTCGTATCCAGCCATAATTAATTCAATAACATCAATAAATGCTACATAAACCAATTCTAATGCATGAATATGAATTCCCAAATATTTTTCACAAAAAGTTAAAAATCGACCCGGAGCCTGCTTGGTCAAAACTCGAAGTTCGAACAAAAACCCGACTACTCATTCACCCAAGAACCCAAATATGCAATACGACCTCAAATTGAGGTCCAAATTCCCAAAATTTGAAAATCCTAATTTCTACCCAAAAACACCAAATTCCCCATGGAAAACCCTAGATTTTAAGATGAAATCATGTGAAAAGATGAAGTAGATTGAAAGAAATGAGTTAGAAGTTGTTTACCTATAATTTGGGGAAGAACCTTTCTTTGAAAAATCGCCTAAGAGAGCTTAGGGTTTGAGAGAATATGAAAAATGAAGAAAATCCCGTCTAAGTTAGAATTTACACAGGCGCAGTTATCGCATTTGCAATGATAGGTTCGCAAATGCGGCCTAGGCTTCACAAATGCGAAGGTAGGCCTGCCCTTCTCTCCTCGCAAATGCGAACATTGTTCGCAATTGTGGCTACTGTAGACGTCACATTTGTGACGATAAACTTCGCATTTGCGAAGGTCCCCTGCCCAGCTTGCACTTCGAAATTGCGAAGACTTCTTCGCAAATGTGATCACTATTGGCCCAGTTACTCTTCGCAATTGCGATGAGTTACTCACAATTACCATACTGACAGACTTCGCAATTGCGAACCCTGATCTCACAATTGCGAGATCAGAGGCCAATACCAGAACTTAAACCTGCAAAAAGTTTTCCTAAGTCCAAAACACCCCGTAGCCTATTCAAAACTTACCCGAGCCCTTGGGGATCCAAACCAAACATGCACACAAGCCTAAAAATATCATACAGACTTGCTCATGCGATCAAATCATCAAAATAACATCTAACTTGAGAACTTTGATGTCTCCAGTTAGATGTCCGGGGTTCATTCTGAGAGGAAGAAGGTAAGTTTGACTGATTTTCCTTTATCCTTTTCTCAGATGCCAGTGGAGTTCCCTGAACTACATCAACCACTCTTTCTTCAGCTTCAGTGGTTGTAATTGAGGTGCTTAGTTCTGTTAATGATGAGGCAGCGTTGTCTTCATTTGTCTCCTTCACTTGACTCATCATATATGCTTTCCCGTTTGTCATGTTAATGACTTCACTAGGAACAAGTAAGGGTTCTCCATCTTGATCTTTCTCAGCATTCTTCTCAAATGATGGATGAGATTCATCAAAAATAACATGGACGCTTTCTTCAACACATTGAGTCCACTTGTTATAAATCTTGTACGCTTTGCTTTGAGAAGAATAGCCAAGAAATATCCCTTCGTCACTTTTGGCATCGAACTTACCAAGCTAATCTTTTCTATTGTTGAGAACATAACATTTGATCCAAACGTTCCTAGGTAAGTCAGCTTGGGTTTTCTTCCATTCAGCAGTTCATACGAGGTCTTGTTCAGAATTGACCTGATCATGCACCTGTTCACTAAGTAGCAGGCAGTGTTGACAGCTTCAGCCCAAAAGTTCTTTGCAAGTCCACTGTCAATCAACATTGTTCTTGCCATTTCTTCCAGAGTTTTGTTCTTTCTTTCTACTACTCCATTTTGCTGTGGAGTTCTAGGAGCTGAAAAGTTGTGAGAGATACCATTTTCATTGCAGAAATCATCAAATTTGACATTGTCAAATTCTGTCCCATGATCTGATCTAATGCATACAATTCTAGACTCCATTTCACCTAGATTTTCTTCACAAAGGCCACAAATAATTCAACCGTTTCATCTTTTGTTCTGAGAAACAAAGTCCATGTGAATCTGGAATAGTAGTCCACGATCACGAAAATGTATCTCTTTCCTCTTCTGCTTTGCACCCTCATTGGTCCACACAGATCCATATGTAGGAGCTCAAGCGGCTTTGAGGTGCTGACATCTCTTTTTGACTTAAAGGAGGATTTTACATGTTTTCCTCTGGCACAAGCATCACAGACCTTTTGAGTTTTGAATTGTAACATAGGCAGACCATGGATCAGGTCCTTCTGAATTAGTTTGTTCAGAAGGGAAAAACTTGCATGTCCCAGTCTTCTGTGCCATAGTTCAGCATCATCGTCAACCGCCTTCAGACAATTCAGATCACCACTCTGTAAAGATTCGAAATCAGCAACATAGATGTTCTTGTATCTTTTGGCCACCAGAACTACTTCATCAGTCACAAGATTAGTGACTGTACATATTTTGGATAAGAACTTCACCTTGTTTCCTTTATCACAAATTTGAGAGACACTCAGGAGACTGTACTTAAGTTCATTAACATAGTACACATTTTCAATAGAGTGAGTGAGTGACTTCCCAACTTTTCCAACTCCAAGAATGTACCCCTTATTGCCATTTTCAAAGGATGCACTCCCTCTTTGCAGGGCTTTTAGTGAAAGAAAGTGTGTGACGTTCCCAGTCATGTGTTTCGAACATCCACTATCCATGAACCATTATTGACCACTTCCTTTCACTGTTCCCTGCACAAGAAGTTAGGAGTTAGTTTTAGGAACCCAAATAAATTTGGGTCCCTTGTAGTAACCAAGAGGATGAATAAGAGCCCTCTTAGCCCATGCAGGTATTGTGCGTTTTCTGTGAGTGGAACCTGGTCCCTCTTTTGTGGTCACAGTTTCAGCAACCATTTTATCTTTTGGTACTGACAGATTCTTGGCCTGGACACCTTCCATGGAGTGCCCAGAGTTTTGTTCTTTCTTTCTACCATTTTACTTTTTAAATTTCTGTCATCCCTTTTTCTACTATTAATAGATCTTTCTTTTTTCTATCTTTTCATCATCTCCTATTGCAACTCCCATTCCTTTTTTTTGGAAAAAAATACTTTTTTCATAAAGTATGATTTCTTTGTTTCTGTTGTAATATACCAGATATGAAATATTATTGTTTTGCTATAACCATATTTTATATTGATTAAAATCTTTAATTTTTATTATTAATTTATGTTTTATATTTAATTAAATAAAAAAACTTAATTAAATTCTTTCATTGAGTAGCATTATGTAAAACATTGGAGAGCCAACTTTCATCAGGATAGAATGAATGTACACTGGTATAGCGGTACTTCAAACCCCAGTGTTTTAGCGAACACAAAGTTCGGCAGCAAATCACACTTACAGTTGATTTGTTTGTAGTTTAAAACAATGCACAACAAATGAGGAGAACTCAGAAGTCGAATGGAAATTCTGAGAGGAAGGTATGCAATTTATAGCCGATGTTGAGTTCTTACTGAAGAGGATATCAACGACAGCCAAGCTCTCAAATTCGTTTCTGCATGTGCCTTCTCCTAAGAGCTCTTATTCCGTTTTTACTGCACATATTTATAGTGCAGTCAACTATTAAGAGAATGACCAGCCACCACTCATAGTGGAGCAATCACCGGGCTGTTATGGAGGAAGCACTTCTTCTTAACTCTTTAAGAGCTACAAGAAGAGCAATTGTATATATACCCACCAAAAGCCTTTTCCTCTTCCAATATGGGACAATGTTTCAAAAGAGGAAAACTTAAAATTTTACTCAAAAATTTCATTTTCCCTCCATTTCCCGTTGACCCACTTTGTAAGACTTTTCCATCTTAAAATCCTCAACATACTCTTATACTATATGTTAGACGGCGTAATCCATTGGTCCATAAGGATCGAACCACTCAGCCAAAAACCCTTTTTCCTCTTAGGATTGCAGCCCATGTCCCTGCACAGTTGGTCATTGTACCAAAAATGCAACGCAGCGATGCATGATCTCCTGTAGTTATTAGAATATTAATATCTTTTCTTGTATTTATCCTATTCTGCTATGTCTTTCTCCATTACCTTGATGTTAGGTAGCTTAAATTTTCCATCAAGAAGTTCTGCCAGCCATCGGCATCCTATTTCCGAGGTGTATAGATCTGATACGCTTTCTGAGAATCCAATTATTGCCAGTTGTGGTATTCGGGGATGAACGCATTCCCTGAAAATCATCCGGAATGACATTACTTTCACACAAGATGAGGTTATACACATAGATAACTCTGATGAACGTATGCAAAAGAATTCCCACCACTACACAAGGATTTAATACTCACCTATAGAGAGGAACTGCATAATCATCGCTCCCTGCAATGAAGCCCTGGAATTTTGGTGATTCAAAAATGTGTTTGAGCTTATCAATTCCCTTGAAGCCTGTAGCGATATGACTAAGTCGGATTTTATTGAAGCCTGTAGCGAGTATGACTAAGTCGGATTTTATTGGTTCAGCCTGACCCTCGAGCACGATGCCTTCTTTAGAGAATCCAAAGCTCTTTGCTTTCTTGAGCTTGATACTTCCTTCCTCAACTCTGTCGTAAAAGCCCTCAGGCACTATATAAACTAAACATGAACTCAATTCGTTCAAGAAACTATGCTCTGGCACCATTCCATGTTTTGCAAGCCCGAGTTTGTGTTGTAAATAAATTTCTACAAAAGTAAACATACCAAGAAATTAAGGGGAGTCAATACATAGTGTATATACATATAACTTTTTTTACCTACATACGTATTTTTCCTGCGAAGAGGTGTCGTTTGACACCCCATCCTATAAAGTGGCTCCGCCACTGTGTGCAACAAGTGAATTTTACGCGCTAGAGCGAGGAGTTCAATAGCCTTCCTTTCCATATACAAGGTCTTTCAAATTTAGAAAGCAACTCAGATTCTCAGTCTTTTGTTATTGAAATTCAGGAAATATATTCAGGGTATATATAGAGCCCAGTTTCTCAACAATGGTTAAGGTTTGAGCGAGAAATATTGAAGGATTGCATACAGGTGTTCGTAACACGCAGCGGAAGATAACAACAATCCTAGGCAGATCTTTTCGTGTTTAAAATTTATTTACATGTCAAAGATCGGATCTAAGACATACCTGGTGGAAAGAGTCGTTTTAAAATTTCTTCGATAGTGCGAAGACTCTATGCATATCCACACTAAGACCGATCCTTGCTATCAACTCTTTGATCAATGAAACTCGCAGACAAATTGAACGAGAAATTACTATGCAGAAATTTTCTCAAAACCCTTTAACGTAGTAATAACAAGACAAGAAGACGAATTTCTTGTCTAAAAATGTCTCTCTTGTTTATGACCCTTTTCGATCATCAGTGTTTCTACATACGAAACCTTCCTATATATACTGACATACATCACCTTAGTATCCTTTTCCCCAATAGGTTAGGGACATTTTAAGGCGGTGACTTACGTGTAACTCTATTCCAAATTAGGACTTTATAAATCCTTTCCATTGCAAAATAGAATCCCATGCCACATGGGATTGAAGTTGTCGTAGTCACTTTATGTCATTCCAATGTTAAATTGGATTTAACACATAACTCTTCATTAATATTTATAAATAAATATTAATTATGAGTATTATATATATATATATATATATATTTTTAACCAAGAGACATAATTTAATTTTTCTATTCCAAATAGAAAACGTTCAATTTGTTAAAAATATTAATATATCCTCTGTGCTAGCAAAGAATATAATAATATTTCATTTGGACTAGTAATTAAATTTATTTGAGTAATTAAATTCTATAATTTAATTACCAAGCAATAGAATAATTAATCCTTTAGCAAAGACCAGAACACTCGTGAATGTGCGACCCCATAGGTTCAATACTAAACCGGTAGTGAAATGATCACATCAATATACTAATCAAGGGTGACGTCTAGCAACACTCCTCAATGACCGGATAGCATGAATTATACAATTTACTCTAAAGAACCAGTAGAAGAATAAAGTAATATTTCCTTCCGTCCTTATAGCTCTGAGTCACCTTAGGATATGGTTCAACTGTCAAATCCTAATAGGCGACCAACTATGTGTTCATGTCAAATATAATCGACCATCGAATGACCTAAGAAACTCATTTCTTCTTTCATTCAATTGCCCTAACCAAGGTCTTAATTTGGTCGTTTATAATTCATGACAACATGGAGCTTAAACTCATTACCAAGAGTTGGCAGATTCCATCTTGATCAATCACTAATTCTACAAGTATTTAATCGTACCCAATATCCTTTCAACTATTGCCCTAGGGCCATAGGTGTCTAGTATTAAAGCACAACAGATAACTTGTTAATTACTATGACGATCTCAGGTCAAAGGAAATTCTTACATCACATTCTTCAAGAGAATATCCTATTGACAGTTTATGGTAATTCTAACCATTAGGAATTATCCAATGAGCCAGTTCAATGATCAATGATCATATCTCTATATGTATCATCTATCTACGTGATTTAATTAATAAGATCAATTAATCTTTATCCGATAAAGACGATCACATAAATATTGATCTAACCAGATTACTAATGTCCAAATTAATAATCCTATGATCAACAACAAATTTAAATTAAATTGTAAGAGACTTTTCTCTCGTTATCATGATCTATATCACGATGACAAATCTCAAAATTTAATCAAGGACCTTATCAAATTAATCAAACAATTAATAATAATTATAAAAGAATATCAAATGCCATATATTTTATATCAAATGACGTTCACAAAATTATGTCCAATCATCAAATATGATATTGGATCTAGGGCATATCTACTATATCTCTAACAATCTCCCACTTGCACTAGAGCCAATCGCTCTTGTACTTCATCCCCAATTTCCACTTGTGCTTGTCAAACTCCTTTGTACCAAGAGCTTTAGTAAATGGGTCTACAACATTTCCTTTCCATCAATCTTTTGAATCTCGACGTCTCCACGTTCAATGATCTCTCTTATCAAGTGATACCTTCGCAGAACGTGTTTGGACTTTTGGTGTGATCTTGGTTCTTTTGCTTGAGCAATGGCTCCAATATTGTCACACAACAGTGGAACCACACCTTCTATTGAAGGAACCACACCAAGTTCAGTTAAGAACTTTTTCATCCATACAGCTTCCTTAGCAGCTTCACTAGCTGCTATATATTCTGCTTCACTCACTGAATCAGCTACTGTAGCTTGTTTGGAACTTTTTCAACTCACCGCACCACCATTTAAGGTGAATACATAACCAAAAATAGATTTGCTATCATCTCTATCTGAAGAGAAACTTGCATCAGTATAACCTTAAAGTTTCAACTCAGAATCTTCATAGATGAGGAATTAGTCTTTAGTCCTTCTTAAATACTTAAGAATGGTCTTCAACACCTTCCAATGTTCCTCACCAGGATTTTCCTGATAGTGGCTAGTCACTCCAAGTGCATAAGGCACATTAGGACGTGTACATATCATGGTATACATGATAGCTCCCACTGCACTAGCATATGGGATCCTACTCATGCATTCTCTCTCTTTAGGTGTTTTAGGACAATCCTCCCTACTGAGAGTAATTCCAGTGCCTATCGGTAGATAGCCTCTTTTGGAATTATCCATATTATACCTCTTTAAGATGGTATCAATGTACAAAGACTGGAAAAGTCCAAGCAGCTTCCTAGATCTATCTCTATAGATCTTTATTCCTAATATATAAGCTGCTTCTCCCTAGTCTGTCATGGAGAACTGTTCAGATAGCCAAATCTTGGTACTTCGTAATGCCGGTATGTCATTCCCTATGAGCAATATATCATCAACATACAACACTAAGAATATAATTGTACTCCCACTAACCTTTTTGTACACATAAGGTTTTTCTTCGCATCTAACAAAATTGAACTTTTCAATTGTCTTGTTAAAGCGAATATTCCAACTTTGAGAAGCTTGCTTTAGTCCATAAATGGATCTTTGTAGCTTGCAAATTTTATTATGATCAGACGAAGATGTGAAACCTTCAGGTTATGTCATGTACACATCCTCTTCTAGCTCACCATTAAGGAAAGCTGTTTTCACATCCATTTGTCATATTTCATAATCATAGTATGTTGCTATAGCAAGCAAAATTCGAATAGATTTGAGCATTGCCACGGGAGAGAACGTCTCGTCGTAGTCGACTCCTTCTTTATGACGATATCCCTTGGCAACAAGACGGGCTTTGTAGGTCTCCACCTTTCCGTCTGCTCCAATCGTTTTCTTAAAATCCCATTTACAACCTATAGGTTTTATATCCTTTGAAGGTTAAACTAAAGTCCATACTTTATTTTCCTTTATGGATTCCATTTCGGATTCCATGGCCTTTTGCCACTTCTCATAATTAGAACTTTATATAGACTCTTCATAGGTCTTCTGGTCATCATCATTATAATCAATCTCATTTGATACATCGTCTTGTACCATTAAATTTAATCTAGTTTGTACATGACATTCTCGTGTAGACCTTCTAAGAGGTACTTGTACAACCTGTTCACCTTGTGCTGGATTTGGTTGTTGTTCAATTTGGTTTGGAACTGGTTCATTAACCCGTTCTTGAACTTCATTTAGTTCTTGAACTTCAACCGTTGAAGATGGCAACTTCCTTGGCAACTTCAAAACATCCAATAAAGGTTCTTCAACTTGGGTCTCTTGATCCTTATATTGTGTTTATTCATTAGTTTCTTGAACTTCATCAAGTTCTATTTCTCCATTATAATTTCCTTCTAAAAGAAATTTCCTTTCCAAAAAGGTTGCTCTCTTGGCCACAAACACTTTATGGTCAGAAGGGTGATAAAAATAATATTCCATTGTTTCCTTGGGATACCCAATGAACTTACACTTATCAGATCTTGAGTCAAGTTTATCAGACTTTAGTCTCTTAACATAAGCTGGACAACCCCAAATTTTAATATGTTTAAGGTTAGTCTTACATCCTTTCCATATCTCATATGGTGTTGTAGAGACTGAATTAGTGGGAACTTTATTAAGTAAGTATGTTGTTGCTTCCAAAACATATACCCATAAATTTATTGGAAGATCAGTGAACCCCATCATAGATCTCACCATATCTAATAAGGTTTGATTTCTCCTTTCAGACACACCATTGTGTTGTGGTGTTCCTGGATGTGTCCACTGTGAGAGAATTCCATTCTCTTTGAGATATCTGGTAAAATCTTCACTAAGATATTCTCCACCTCTATCAGACCTTAGTACTTTGATATTTTACCAGTCTGCTTCTCAACTTCTCAAATCTTCAGACTTGTGTTTCATAAGATACACAAATCCATATCTTGACATATCATCACTGAAGGTGATGAAGTAAGAATATCCACTTCTAGCTTGAATTTTTATGGGCCCACAAACATCTGTATGAATTAGTCCCAATAATTCAGAAGCTCTTTCTCCACTTCCATTAAATGGAGATTTGGTCATTTTTCCTTTGATATAAGATTCACAAGTTGGATATGATTCAAAATCATATTTGTCAAGATACCCTTCCTTGTACAACTTGTTAATTCTTTTTCTCTCCATTATGATCAAGCATACAATGCCAAAGGTATGTATGATTTACTTGATCATCTCTTTTCCTCTTAAGACTTGAAACATGCATAATCAAATTAGCATTCATAATAAGTAAGATATAAACATGTTGGAGATAGCCATTCACATATAAATTATCACTATAATAAATAAAGCAAATGCCATTGCCTATATTAATGCGAAAACCACGTTTGTCTAACATAGAAGCTGAAATTATGTTCGAAACAAATTTAGGAACGTAATAACAATCATCCAACATAAGTACTTTGCCCGTAGGCATTATTAAAGAAATTGATCCTACAGCTATGACCGCAACTTTTGCACCATTTCCAACTTGTAGATTAATTTCTCTTTTCTTCAACTTTCTACTTATCTGGAACCCCTGCAACATATTGCAGATGTTATAACCACTGCCAGTATCTAATACCCACAATGAAGAATTAGTAGTAATTAAAAAAACCTTGAAAATATTTTTCATTAAAGTCTTTCCTTGTTTCTTATCCTTTAAAGTTGCAAGATACTCCTGGCAGTTTCTCTTCCAATGTCCTATTTTCTTACAATGGAAGCATACAACATCAGATTGGTCAACTTTGCCTTCTTTGCCTTTGGGTTTGGTCACACCACCCTTGGGCGGAGTAGGTTTTTTCTTGGGTTTACTTTTACCCTTACCCTTCTTCTTAGAAGAGTTTCCAACCAACATGACAGTTCCTTTCTTCTTCTCAGATGCAAGTTGATTCTCATAATCAATCAGCATGTTAAGCATCTCATGAAGATCACAATCCATTTTATTCATATTGAAATTAATAACAAATTGTGAAAAGGATTCTGATAGTGACTGCAAGATCAAATCTTGAGAAAGCTCTTTATCCAGTTTGCACCCCAACTTCTCAAGTTCTTTAATGAGATCAATCATATGATTGACATAGGGTCCAGTTGGAGAGTTTCCAACCAACATGACAACAAAGAACTTATTAAATTTATACTCCCCGGGTAGTCCAGGCGTCTAGTAAAAAATTGAATAATTCTCTTAATCCATGCGTCTATTGCAATAAATAATTTTAACATATTCTCGAACTATAAGTCTCCTGATAGTCAGGCCGCTCCTTGTAAACAAGAAATAAGTAAAATTATTTACTTTGATGGATAGCTCTATAATAAAATATCTTATATATTATTATTTAAGAACCCAAATTTTAGTAAGAGAGAATTGTTACTAAAACAACTTTTAATAACATGAAGATTAAATCTTTTATAGCATGCGAATTTGGTTCAAGTTGTCTACATGCTTAGTCCTAAATTAATTTTCACCACATGTAATAAATAATTCAAAATTATATAACGAACATGCACGTGACATAAAAGCAAAATTTAACATTCTTCTAACATGTTTAATCTATATATCACATATATCACAAAAACGTTATTCATGCCAGAATATCATTATTAATTAACATCTCATGAACTAATAATAATTACAAAATAACTATAGAATCATGTAATCTCTTATAGATTCCCGTCGTATCTAATACAAAATTTCAAATTCAAGTTATGAACTATCTCAATAGTTATATGAATACATATTTTATCCATAATAAAATAATATCAACATTCAAACTATTTGACTATTGCACAAGACTCATGTATTATAGTTTGAACTCTTCAAATATAATATTAAAATATTTCGTAAATAAATTTTAGACACAATAAACCACCGCTCTGATACCACTGAAGGATTGCATACAGGTGTTCGTAACACGCAACGGAAGACAACAACAATCCTAGGCAGATCTTTTTGTATTTAAAATTTATTTACATGTCAAAGATCGGATCTAAGACGTACCTGGTGGAGAGAGTCTCATTTCAATATTTCTTCGATAGTGTGAAGACTCTATGCGTATCCACACCGAAACCAATCCTTGCTATCAACTCTTTGATCAATGAAATCCACGCACAAATTGAACGAGAAATTACTATGCAGAAATTTTCTCAAAACCCTTTAACGTAGTAATAACAAGACAAGAAGACGAATTTTTTGTCTAAAAACGCTTCTCTTGTTTATGACCCTTTTCGATCATCAGTGTTTCTACATACGAAACCTTCGTATATATACTCACATACATCACCTTAGTATCCTTTTCCCCAATAGGTTAGGGACATGTTAAGGCGGTGACTTACGTGTAACTCTATTCCAAATTAGGACTTTATAAATCCTTTACATTGTAAAATAGAATCCCATGCCACATGGGATTGAAGTTGTCGCAGTCACTTTATGTCATTCCAATGTTAAATTGGATTTAACACATAACTCTTCATTAATATTTAT